AGACGCCCTCATCAAGCTCCTCCGCGCCAACCGCGCCGAGGACGTCTACTACGCCAACATGGGGCCTCAACCCGAGGGCGCCGTCGGCATGCCGGAGGACGTCGAAGCCCAAGAACGCACCCGCCGCGCCCGCCTCGACCGCATCAACCTCGAGCAGGAAGACCACGCCCTCTCCATCGCGCGCAACCGCGAGCTGGCGACAGTGCAGGCGCAAATCTGGTCCGCGCAGGCAGAGCTCGAGGACTCTCGACGGCAGCGCGTCGCGCAGGACGAGCTGGTGGCGCTTAACGAGCGCGCGCGCATCGAGGAGGACCACTTTGCAGCCCAGATGCGGCGGAAGCGCAACGAGCGCAGCGCGGACCTGGAGCACCAGGCCGCGCTGACGGAGGCGAGCATCACGCGGGCGCGGGCCGTGGAGCTGGCCGAGTCGGACCTGACGATGGCGAGGCAGAGCATGATGCTCGAGTGGGAGAAGCAGATCGCGACGGAGAAGGTCGACCAGGCCAAGACGCTGAGCGCGATTCGCGTGGCGGAGAGGGAGGACGTGGATCGTCTGGACCGGGAGCAGGAGGAGAGGTTCCGGGCGCGGTTGGCGGAGCAGAGGAGGCTTGTTGACGGGCAGACGAACCTCGCGAGCCAGCTCACCAACGCGGGGGTTAATGGGAGGAGACAGATTGGATACATCACTGGGGAGATTAGAGATTAATCAAGAGGGGCGATGGATGGATCTGTGAAGCTTGGCCCTGTGTCCTTGAGACATGGAGGTTTTGGGCGCGGGGGATGAGCGAGGTCGTCGGTGGGCTAGGTCACAACTTCGGCTCACAATTGCGACTGCCACATTAGCGTGATACTTCTGGCAACTGAATTTCCGCAAGATCAAAAAGTTAGAGAGGGATACGGGTTGGATAGGAACAGGCGTTTGATGGTTTTCCCAATCTTTGTTGGCGGGACGGGCGCATAAGTGGGATTCAAACGGGGCTCACTCTTGATCAAGCCCAGGATGCATTTTGAGAATTTGAACGCATTGAAGCGAATTAATGGAAAGACCATTTTCAGGCTCATGACCCTCATTTCTTGGAGATGAAGAATTGGCCTTTGAGGCTGTGATACTGATAAACTTGGATTAAGACGGATAGAGAGTGGACAAAACTCGCAATCGTCCCAAAAGGTGCGTAGCTTGCGAATTGTGTCTTGACACCCCCCCCCCCCCTCCACGACCCTGTTGCCTCTTTCGGCCCCTTTGCTACGAACGGAGAGAACTCCCGATGCTTGGTGTGAAGACGTCAGCTGGGGGGGGGGGGGGAGGCAGATCCTGGGCAGGGGGGCATTCATACACAGCAGCAGAGAGAAGCGACGATTCGACGAAGAAGGGGGGTTTCTGGATCAGAGGCGGTGGCAGTCTGGCAGAGGTGCGAGACAGAACGGAGTCGGGTGCCATCCGATATGGATCCTCCCCATCACAACTCCCGGGTCTTGGCTTCTTTCTTCAACGCCGATCGTCGGAATTTCTGTCAGGGTCGCTGGCGAGATGAGGGGCGTGACACGGTGACACGCATTTGGGGGGTAGCGCAGTAGTGTCACTATGTGGGAGGGAGCCAGTCAGCGACTTTTAACTCGCGTGTCTTTGCCCTCGTCTCGTGGGGAATGTTTAAAAAGGCTCGTAGTTGCAGTTTAGGCGGATTTCCAGTGTCTTGCATTCTGCGACTCTGATGATCCTTTCAGTGGAGAAGTATGGAACACTTATCTTTCTTCAACGGGTTGTGGACACAAGATTGCATTCTTTCGTGCGACGGGAGTGGGAATCGATTCAGGACCGTTGAACCGTCGATTCGTCGACCACGGGTTTGGAGACTCCCAGTCTCTGGTGCGGCCACACTGCGGCGGGGGCGGTTGACATGACGATCACCTCACGGTATCTGGACGGAAGCTGCGCCGGTGCGATGCTGCGGATGTCACTGTAGGATGCAGGATGGGGGCATTGTTAGGATATTTTATACAAGAGGCTGCATGGGAGAATGATACCCTACCTGGTCTCTTCGCTCGGGCCTCCCTTTTTTTCTGGATCGTGGACTGGGGAGCGAAAGAGAGTGATGACTTACTCGTGGGCTTGCCTCCCGGTTTCCGACTTACTCTGGGTATTCCAATCGTTCTGACTGGCCAATTCAATGATTGTGGACAAATGTGCCTGTACGGATCTGGAGCGTACGAAAATGATGGTACGCAAACGGGTAGTGACTACCGAAGCTCCGAGTCAAGATACAGCAAATAATGCAGCCTATGCAGGTATGTCTTGATGGTTGATAGGGAGGTATGGACCATAGTTTTGATGGATTGACTATGGTCCATGATCTTCAATCTCTCAAGGGTCACGATCACGTCGGTATTCCGATATGAAGACGGAGCTTGGACCTCGAGTTCCCAATCACAATGACAGATGAACTGACGGTTCACAGCGGCTACCACGTCAAAGAGGGGGAAATGTCAAAAAGGGAGGATTGCTGGTCCACGAGGTGAGCAGAATATTCAAAGCTCTCGCGGCCAAAGCTCCTGACTGAGTTCGAGAGGAAAAGCTACACGGCACGGTACTGAGGAAAGGAAATCGGAGGGCCTGTCCAATCCGCAAGACGGCTTCGGAACGGAGGCTTTGAGTATCTTTCATTCAGTGGAAGTCTGGCTTTGCCTCATCCTGTACACGGCGCTTCGGACACTATCCGCAGGGGTCCAACTCCCGATAAACCGGCGCAAGGTTCCGATTTCTTGCTTCCGCAGCGGGCGCGTAGTTCAGCGGGAGTTTCTCAGTGGGAGCCGGTGCCCCGATTTCACGTTTCGAGGTGGGATGTCCGGGACCACGATGTACGTCTAGACTCTGCGAATAGAGAGCTACACTGGCTCGATGTCCAGGACTGACATGTTGTTTCGTCGAAAGTCAGGATCTCTCGAGCGGTCGAGCCATACTTTCCGCCTTTCATGTCTCGCATCAACGATCTTCAGCCGGGCAATCCCCACCACGCAGTGGAGTTGGCCAACGCAGGGGCGCATACTCAAGTTTTCTCTAACTCCACTGATACAGCACCCATACTCCGTACCTTGGAGGCTTGGAATGATTAGACGTCCCCATCCTCCACTCCGCGGGAGTTTGTGATTTGTATCCAGGGGAAATCCCAACTCTTGAAAGGTGGCAAGATGTTCTTGTCATGTTCCATGATCGCCCATGTCGCCCACTTTCCGCAATGATTCGGCTCGGGTTGCACAAGACTGGAACATCCAACAGAGTTGCCTGCCGTTGACCTCTTTCTCGCCAAAGCTTCTTTGAAAGAAGCTATACTCTTTTGTCTCGTAGCTTCCTTTGCATGGCACAGTTCGCGTCTAATAACGTGCTTTTAAACTTAAACTAGATAGCCTTCAGAAGGGCTGATGCTCTTTTTGTCTTCAGGGTTTCCCACTTGGTGGGCTCGGCAAATTTGTTTCGTCGTTTTGTTCTCTCAAACTAGCCGTCTCGTTTGTTTATGAACGTTTGGCACGGGCACGATCTCGTCATCAGAGACACGATTTGATTCTTTTCCCGCCGGCCCGGTGCTCTACATGGCGTAAGCATCTAGAATTTTTGATTGCAATTTGCGACAAACCTGCGTTGACAGCTGTCAGGGAGAGTTTTATCCACTGTTACCTGAGTCAGACGCTCGGAGAATTACTGCTCCAATTTAAGCCCAGTTTGCACATAACATGGGCTCAACACTGCGATGATTCGTAAAGTGGCCGACACCACCAGATAGGTAGGCTCATTATGTCAGGTACGACACGCTGCGATTTGGGTAATGCATCTTTTTGAGGGACTTCAATGGGGGAGTCTGATTGTCTGATTTGAATGATGTCCGAGCACACCGGGGACCTCGATATTGGTCTGATTTACGGCGGGGACCAACACGCCAAGTCTTGAGATTGCGGCGGTAATCAGGATAGCTCACGCTTCAGCCCCATCCAATTCATCCGTTTCAACATGAGTAGCCACTGGCACTGCTAGTCCCTCGAATAATGCTGCCTGCTGTCAACAATTGGCTCTCAGACGTTGCGAAATCACCTACTTTTCATTGACATATATGTAAGTCTAGCTGGTGACAGCGATAGCTTCACTTCGAAAATCGGGGATTGGAAGTCAACCACTAATGTTGAAGCACTGTAGGCTCACCATAGCTTCAAAGTTCCAGGAACTTGAATCTACCTCTTCCGTATCATCCGGCAAATCTTCCCCTCCCTCAAGTCGCCCCCATTGCAACTCGAAACCAACATCAGGGCCCACGTGGGTGATTTAGATCGAGGTCTGTGTCCCAATATCACCTCACTAGAAACTGCCAATCACCTGAGAACGTCACTTGTCATGATCTGAATCGCTACACCACGGCATAGTGCGGCGATGCGGCTTCCCTTCTCAAACCGGATGACCTGAGATGCGTCCGCGATAGCCGGCTGAGATCTTGCTTTCGGTCTTAAGACGGCGCAATTATAGGCCATCTAAAGCCAGTGATGGGGGCTTATGAATATAGTGAGGCAGAATATCTCTGCCACTATTGAAGACATTTAGACCGAGAATTATAACCGTGTCGGGTGACTTGACTCGCTGCGATCGAGCAGACAAGATAGTAACCGATGCGAACGCAACATCACGGTGAATGACGAGTGATGGGAGGATTGGGATGCATTGGATAATGCGACTCGGAGTTTCTTGGCTTGACAGGACACCATTATTGCCTCATTGACGAGTTTGGACGATCCGATGGCATCTTGGCTTCGTCACATACCTTAGTAAGGGATTTTGTCACAGTCGTCACACGAAGCGCTTCTTTAGTTCTTAATTCATTCTGTTAATCGCCAGTCAGTGTTTAAGAAAAGAAAAAAGCTTACGGCGCAAAAACTCGCTGAAACACACGGGTCGCCCCCAATGATGTGCGCTACACTGACTCGAGCTCTCGTTGCAGAGCAAGGAACCGGGGTGTTAACGCCTCTCACTTCAGCAATGCCGGAATCTTGAGATCGTGGGTTGCAAACTCCTCTTTTTCCTTTTCCTCCCACTCTCCTTTCCAGGCTTCAGCGTTGTAGATGTGCGTGTCACTGATCACAGGCTTTGCTCCAGTATTCTTCTCTTTCCCCGGCGGCAAATCCGTGGCGCATTGGGGAGAAAGACGTGCCTCGTGGGATGTCTTGCCATGTTTCGCTGTTTCGGGGTTAGGCGCCTCGCAGACGCGCTCTGCATGTCTTACCTAGTTGCATGTGAGACCAGGTTTCTGGACCTGAATGCAATGCTTGCATAGGGTTGATCGTACTCCAGAAGGGGAACTAGTCTGCAACTTTGGTGCAAAAGACAAGGTGTGGAATGGTGACAACGTGGCTGTCCAAGCTCCTGCAGATTGTGAAGACTGGATTTTGGAATGATCCGGGACTTACAGCCTCCACCTGCCTGCCGGGGCCAACTGTTTCTCTGGCCCTTGAAGACTCATTCGGACGACGACCGGGGACATGGGAGGACTACTCGAAGAGGCGGTTTGCGAACGTCGCTCCTGGTGGGAACTAGTCCAACCAGGAGGAGGGTTGGGGTTGTATTCGCACGGACGCCTTCAAGCAGGACCAGACAGAGAGATCAGCACGGCATCGTGGGCCGCCGGGGCTTGAGAGCCACACAGCGAACATGATGCTTGTCCAGCTTTCTTCGCCCGCCAAAAACAGTTGTGCAAGCCTTTGTTGTTGCAATCTTCCTGGCGTAGTGGGAAAAGGGGGCATGGTTTCGACTGTGGAGTAGAAGGGAACATGAGAGACAGGACCCTTTTCCAAGTCTACGCCTTGCCTTCCCCGGTCTTATCTGTGCATTCGGCATATGTCAAAGTGGGCACGACGAAGAAACGATGGCCCAGGCCCGTTTTCTCATTCCTGTGAGCAGAATATATTACCACGGCCGTGGAACAGGTCAGATCGTTCTAGAGTCGATCTCGTCTTTGGGACCCGGCGTTTATCTTTCTTTTTTCCCTTCTTCCCACAACCTCGAGAGACATGAATGGAGCTTGCTTCAATTCTGACATCTCATTCGTTTCCGTTTCAACGTCTTGACTTGCTTTTGGCTTGGTGGTGGTCTAGCCCCCTCTTTACGTCAACCTCAACCTAAGCTAATGTCTGGTCTGGGTCCGTGGTGATCACCATGGACGGAGCAACAATCCATGCGTTGTATGGAACGGCCGATAACTCGGGCGAGCCTACGCCCTTGGTGAACAAGACTCCAACTATCCTAGGCGTGGTTATTGCCTTCGCGGTAAGCTCCAAGTTGTTCGGAGACATATCAGCAATGTGACTAACGACGTTGCTTAGATCTTCTCGTGGATGTGTGTCGCCTTCCGCATGTACGTGCGAGCCAAGTTGGTTCAGTCATTAGGATGGGATGATTGCTTCGTGATATTGTCGTTGGTGTGTAACCCTCTGTATACTCTCTCGATGACGAACAATGTCTCACGTGAGGATTTCAACACAGTTAACAACAACAACTGGATCTGTTGGAATTTGTGTCGGTAGGACCCCACAAAATTTCCCTTTCTCGCTTTTGTGAAACTAATCCTTTGGTCAATAGCTACCAAATATGGGATGGGAAGACATATCTATACCCTCTCTGCGGCAGAAGTCCAGAATTACCTCCGAGTACGAAGTCAACCCGCCGATAGTCGCTCATGATGTTGACTTGCTAATCAAGAACCCCTTGCCTTAGACCTTCTACGTTGCAAACGCATCTTACCAAATGTCAACCGCCTTTATCAAAATCTCTCTCCTCTTTCAATACTTGCGCATCTTCGACCGACCGTCCTTCCTTCGATCGCTCTGCATCTACCTGATCATCTTTGTCAGCTTATGGGCCACCGCCTACTCGTTTCTGGGATGGGTTCCCTGCGTGCCAGTCGCAGCATATTGGAACTGGACCATTCCAGCCACACGTTGGGCATACGGCTCGCTCAATTCTGATATATTCTCGGGAACATATGAGAGTCACTCTTCGGTCAACTTTGCCTTGGACGTCCTTGTTCTCGCCATCCCGGTTCCGCTCTACTTCAGACCTCAACAGTCGCTTAAGTCGAAGCTGAGACTGCTTGCGCTGCTGGTCATTGGCATTGCGTGCGTTTTGTCCCTCGTTTTCCCTAACAGCGAACCATCACTCTCAGGGATCCCCAGAGCGCTAACACAATTTGTAGGGTCAACGGCGTCTCAGTCGTCCGAGTATACTCTATCATTCAACACCGATCCGCCACTCGTCCGACATTAGACCCCATGTGGTACGGCCCCCTCAGCATCGTCCTATCCGCCGTCGAAGTCGATCTGGCCATGGTTGCCAGTAGCGTCCCGATTTTCTGGCCAGTACTGCGGCAACGATTCCCCGGTATCTTTGTTACCAAGGAGGTTGAAGTCACGAGGGAAGTTCGGAGGTTGGAGAGCGTGGAACTCGAGGACGACATGGAGATGGAGCCGGATCGGAGGTCGCGGGTCGGCAGCGAAGCAAGTCTTCGGCAAGAGAACATCAACCAGGGAGGAGGAGCGGGTGGGCGATACATGGATGAGTTCATTGTGAACCAGGTCGACCCGCTGAGGAAGGCCAAGAGTACGGTCACAGAGGTCAAGGCCGGCGATGAAGCTCAGGGGGGTTGGTGGCAGAAGGGCCGCTTTGGTTGATGAGCGTGGGAGGACTGCAGACTTTGCTCATGGCAGATTGGTTACACACCAGCTTGTTCGGAATGAAAACAGTAATATCCACATGGACCTCTCTGAGTAAGAGCAGATCCACCGCGGGCGGTATGATGTGGCTTCTGACCAAGTATGCTCCAATCATACACCTTAAGTGACTTTGCGAGCGCGGCTCTTAGTCGAGTGTAGCTCCATGAGTAGGTTTAAGAGACACCATGTTATACCATGTTTGGCATCGGCTACCACTCAGAGACTCCAGGAAGGCCGCGCAAGACCGAAGGATCTCCATAATACTCTTCGCATAGCCAGATTTTTCAGCATGACTGATCCTGAAAGTAGCAAAGCCATCGTTTATGTAAGATAAGGTACTACATATGGGGGACTCCGGTCGTGTTACACTGAATGTCCGGGTGGCCTACCTTAGGATCTTCCTACCTGCATTGGGGCCTACCTTTTCTGACGCGTTTGTGACATGGATGTGCGTGAGTAGGCAATCCTACTGTTCTAAAAAAGAGCGATCTGACGAAATATAAGGGTCCATCAAAAGAAGTCGCGCAATAAAACTGAGAATGAAAATTTTCGTCAGTTTAAGTCTAAGTAAATACTAGAATTAATATTTGACGGCGGAGCTTGAGCTCGATATATCTAAAATCTGGATCTAAGGCGCAATGCATTTACAAGGTATCGTAATCCTTCGGACTTAGACTGCGCGGTTGTACCCAGAGCGTCCATCGGTAGTGATGGCAGAGGCTTCGTCACGCCTGTTGTAACCTGAGCGTCCATCGGTACCGATAGCAGAGCTTTCCTCACGCTTGTTATATCCGGAGCGCCCGTCTTCAACACTGGTGTAGCCAGACCGGCTATCGGCCTCTTCCCGCTTGTTGTATCCAGACCGTCCACCAGTGGAGGCACCAGCAAGCTCCTCGCGACGACCGACCCCAGAAGCTCTGTCTTCTACACCGTTGTACCCCGATCGTCCATCTGTAGTAGCGTCCGAGCCCTCTTCGCGACGGTTGTAACCGGAGCGACCGTCTTCCACACTGTTGTATCCTGAGCGGCCATCTGTCTCCTCACGACGGTTGTAACCAGATCGACCATCTGTTGTAGCGTCAAGGGCCTCTTCGCGCTTGTTGTAGCCAGATCGTCCGTCAGTCGTGGCTGAAGCGTCATTCTCTCGGCGATTGTACCCTGAACGCCCATCAGTGCCGATAGCAGAGGTGTCTTCGCGCTTGTTGTACCCGGAACGTCCATCAGTGGTGGCGTCTGAGGCTTCTTCGCGACGGTTATACCCCGAGCGGTCATCAGTTGTGATAGCAGAGGCTTCCTCCCGCTTATTATATCCTGACCTTCCATCAGTAGTGGCATCAGTAGCCTGTTCGCGACGGTTGTACCCGGATCGGCCATCGGTTGTAGAGTCAAGAGCCTCTTCGCGCCTGTTGTATCCAGATCGTCCGTCTGTAGTAATAGCGGCATCTTGTTCACGGCGGTTGTACCCAGAACGACCATCCGTGGTCATATCAGACGTCTCCTTGGCGTTGCGCCGATTATATCCAGATCTACCATCTGTCGTAATAGCCGCATTTTCTTCGCGCTTATTGTAGCCAGACCGGCCATCTGTATTCATGACTTGATCTTCATCGCGGCGGTTATATCCGGAACGTCCGTCAGTGCCGACAGTCGCCTCTTCGTCACGGCGGTTGTAGCCAGAACGACCGTCGGTGGTAATAGCAGTGTCATCACGACGGTTGTATCCAGAGCGACCATCTGTAGAGACAGCAGTGTCTCCTTGTAGGGGACTAACATCTCGAACGCGAAGCGCCGCGATACTTGTTGCTCCATGAGCTTTGCGGGCGCAGCCCTCAGTGTTTCCGGTGATCTGATGGAACCATAGAGTTAGCATCGTGGAAGTGCTAAGCTTCAAGGATGATAGAAGCTAGTAGAACTCTGAAGATGGACTTACTGCTGATAGGATAGTCTCGCCCTTGAGCAAGGATAGGACCAAGATGCTGGTAAAGAGGGCTACCAAGAGGACACGTCCAACTGGGCGCCGAGCAGGAGGGCTATTGGGCATAAGCCCATGAGTCGGCAAAATCGTCTCTTGTTTCATTTTGGAAAAAGGATATGGGGTAAGAACCTTGAGCAAAGCCAGAGAGCTCGCCGTTTTAGGTGTGAAAGTTGATACCAAGAGACAGTGAAAGTTTTCAAGCTGGATCCTGTTGTGATACAGGAGCTCAAGGGAGTGATAGACCGAGATACTTAGTGGTTATTGGATGCTAATGAAGACGGAACACAACGAAACAAAGAGAAGAGAGCCCCTTATATATTGCTCCATGACTGAACTTTTCTCAGAGTTCTCGAGTGTGAGCTACATAAACGAAGAGACTGGAGGGTTGAGGCGTAGGAGGCACAGTCACGAAGCACGCAGTACCAAGATACTTACCGTCGACTCTCATAACCTGGGCAGCAATACGACACAGCCGCTGCAGCCCTATGCAAGCTGCAATGAGCCATCAAGTTGAGACATGCAGCAACAGGTCATGATCCGGTTTCTCATCAAGGACTCAAGGGTTGCCTAAACTAAAGTGGAAACAAGATTCAGACTCGGCCCCCACGACATTGACCGGTGAGATCGCGGAAGTGGGTGCGGTCGCCGCACCCTGCACAAGTCCGCAGTGACCAGTCTTCCACTAGGTGCCAAGCCCGACCCTCATAGGTCGCCCTATAGCCTGCTGCAGTGCTGCCAATGCTGAAGGATTTGGCCTCGCCATCATCGGCCGGAGATGCCCGGCGAAGAAGACGGAATGCG